CATTTTTCTAAAATTAGTGTTTTTAAATGATTCATCATGGCAGCACACAAAGTGTGCTGAAAGCAGCTGTGACAGCAGTACCATACACCCACGCCGGCGAGCGCTGCTGGTTCAGAGCATCTCCCTTCCCTGTGCCATTCCGAACTTCTGCTCCCGCTCCTCTGCCCTCCACGGCAGAGCCCACCGCCCTGGAGCAGGGCTCTGGGCAGGGGCCAGCTCCCAAGGAGCTTTTTCCTTTCTCTGAAGTTACTGTTCTGCATTTAGAGGTTATGTTTGCCATTTGGGATGAAGTTCAACTCTGAAAGCTCATCTCAGAAAACTTGTTTTAATTATTTAAGTGTAATTTTCTAGAATACTCGATGTCTTCTTTTAAAGAGGTTTAGGACACAGGAAATACCAATGCCTTAAAATACCTGCTGATCTCTGAAAAAATAATCTCCCTCCGTGGAGATTTAAAAAAATTAAAAGCCACAGATGAGCTGAGAGGATAGATTCAGTGTTTAGTTTCCTTCTGCCAGCAGCAGTAAGTGTGTAGGAGTGGCACGGAGCGAGATGTGCCCAAGCACGCGGCTCTGCTTTACTGCCACCCAGTTCTCAGCTGCTCACTCAGTTCAGCACAGTTGGTGGCAGATGACAGCCAAGCAAAGAGTGAACAGGTTGGCCACGTGGCTTTTAATTGTTCATTTCAGACCAAATTGCACAGTTAGCTGCTAATCTCAGAAAGCCCTTGTCTCCTGGAATGACGGGTCGTCCTGGTCCAGCTGGTCCCCCGGGTCCTCCTGGAGCTACGGGAAGTGCTGGGCATCCTGGTCCTCGTGGTCCCCCTGGATACAGAGGGCCAACAGGAGAACTGGGTGACCCCGGTCCCAGAGGTAAGACTAAACCAACCTCCTTCTCTTTCAAGCCCCCTGAAATAAAGTGCAAACTCGTACTGATTTCAGCAGTGGAGGAGAAAAGATCAAGCCTTGGGCAGCAGATGGAGTTCTAGAGGGCAGTTTTGTACCTTTAGGGCCGCTGTGTAAGCAAAGATCCTAGCAGTGTCCGGAGGATTTTGAGCTTCTCTTGGTCTTTCCCCTTCCTGTCCTTGGATCCCGCTGCAGTACGTAACTCACCGTTGAAATTGTCTGTTTATGATTAAAGGTGACACTGGTGAAAAAGGAGATAAAGGACCTGTTGGCCAAGGCATTGATGGGCCTGACGGTGATCAAGGACTTCAAGGTAAGGCTGTGCAGATAATTTCACAAACCATGGCCAAAGTACAGGCGTAAGAGGGACAGTTTTGGAGAATGTTTTTGAGAAAAGGCTGCTGGGGCAGCTAGACTCTTTGTTTGGTTTTGGTTTCTTCCAGTAACGGCTGGGAAAGGTCAGGAGCTTTAGTAGATGGGGAAGTCAAGACCCTTCCTCACTACTCCCACGTGGCTGCCTGTGCCCCAAGGCCGTTACTCGCAGTGGTACCTCACGTGCAGTAACTCACTCATTAATTACGAAGCAGCGTATCGGTTCATTTAAAGATGTGCAACAACTGGGAAGGCTCTGGCTCCAGTTAAGGCAAAAGCATCAGCCTGCTGCCTGTTCCCTGGTGGACACGTGTGCCTGCAGTGAAAGCTACAGCTGGGCCCACCAGCTGTAGTCTCCCAAAATTCAGTTTGTCTTTCCGGATCAAACGAGAAATGGAGGACAGTATTGCCTTTTACCTGAAACAAATATAACCTCCTAATCGAATGATCTTGAGCGAGAGTGGTGTTACTGCTCTGCACCTGCTATAATCCCAGTTCCTGAAGTCATGAATCCTTTACCAAAAGATTCAGAGATTAATTTGTGCAAATTAATGAGTCTCTATTAGAAACTCAGAAGAATACTCTTTATTTTGCTCACCTATTAAAGCAGCTTTTCTAATTGCTATTACATCTGCACACTGATTTAGGTCACAGACATCAAAAGCAGGCTCTGCATCCGTATAATTTCATAAACCCAGAATATTTATAACCAGTTTTCTCAGATTCTTCCATAAAACAACTACATTGATCCATAAATGTTTTCCAAAGGGTGTAAACAGAGATACAGATATTTATAGATACAGCTGTCCCTCAAGGAGACAAAAGCATATTTTATTATTTAAGAAAGCTTCATTGGCTTGCTGTTACAGAAATCAGCGTTTCGTCAATTATGCTGGACATCTGAAGGAAAAATAAATTTAAAGCTTTTTTTTTTCCCTTAAGTCTACCCAAAGCAAAAATAATATTTGCCAATAAACAAAAGATATATTTCATCGTGAGCAAATTTTTGAAATTGGACACAGGTATGAAGGATGTAATGTCAGGGAGGTGTTCTGCATCATCATTCCCTCTACTCTCCTTCTCTTATTCGGAATCTTAATTACACCTAGATGTAAGGAGGTGCAATGAATTGAAGCAGCTGGAGGCCAGGAAGGAGGGGCAGATGTGTATTGTCACGATAAGTAAGCTGTGAGCTCACACATCCAGGGCAGCCCTGATTGAGGGATGATGTAAAACCATTCTGGTTACACATTACTTGCTGTTTTTCATGGAGTCATACACTTAATTGGGAGTACCGAGATGGAATCCAGTTCTACTACATGCATAACAAAAGTGCAGTATAAACGTCCACCTTCAACGACACTGAGGTAATTCCAGTAAATCCAAGGTACTCTAAAAAATCCAACACATATATTCCAGATGCAGGCTAAATTTATTCAACACCTTGTACTCAACAGGCCGTAACAATTCTGATGTACAGACACTCAAAATATTTCAAGAACTCTAAAAGTAACACAGATATATATATACACACATATTAAATTAAAAAAAAAAAAAAAAGAAAAAAGGGAAGGCAATAATGCATGTAATCTTTTTCCCCTTCTTGTTTAGGACCACCTGGTGTCCCTGGAATTACTAAAAATGGCCGTGATGGTGCTCAGGGTGAACCCGGTCTTCCAGGGGATCCTGGTACTCCTGGTGCTGTCGGGGCTCAGGGAACTCCAGGAATATGTGACACGTCAGCTTGCATGGGAGCTGTTGGAGCATCAACTTCCAAAAAATCATAAAATGACAGTACCAGAAGTGGAGAAGTGACTGAGTATTTAACTAAACAGTGCATTGTAAGAAAACAGAGTCCTCCTAGTGCTAAACGGAGAGATCTTCCTTCTATTGTATAAGTGGAGACGTTGACAGTTCTATGAGTAAGGAAGCATCAGGTGAAAACTGTAATTAAAAGATGCTTTATAAGTATTTTCTTCTCCCCCCAATTATTTTCCAGAATTTTTACTGCCAAACCTCACCTTCCCTTTCTCCCTTTGTTCAAGAGACCTGCAAGAGGAAGCATTGTTCTTTTTACCCTCACCCCTCAACTGTACTAGAGATCAGGAATTTTCTGTACAAATGCCCGAGCCTTATCCATGGAATTCCTTGGTGCTGCTCCCACTGGCTTCAGTCAGTGCACAAGCCTGCCTAAGATACGCACTGCTGAGGTATTCAGGCACCCAAGTGCTGCTCACAGCAGTGGGAATTAGGTATTTCAATAGCCTGGATTTTAAGATCTGCACATTCTGGGCTAAGGAAGACCATAGCTTATGTATATGCTGTCAATCACCAATTTTCAGATTGCACCCCAGATGTTTGCCACAACTAGTGAATAGTAATCCTCTTGCAATCGAATTCTGCAAAAGGTGTAATATATGTTTTAATTTACAGGGGAGATTTTTTTTGTATATTTCCATGTAATAAAGAAACCAAAAACCAGCATTTTCACGACCTCTACTTCAGCTATTTGCACAGCAATTGTGAGTGAAGCCCAAACAGGAAAGGATGCTCTTTTAAAGTCCAGCTGAAAAAACCTGTATGAACTGTTGTAAAAATAAAAGGAGATTTTTTTTAACCTTTTCCTTGTGATGTTGTAAGTGTCATTATACACATCAAACTAATTCAGCTGAACTCCACCTTCCAGAACTGGTTTTACTAGGATTGTTTGGAAATAAATTGCTGCAAAATTGTCCATGTCCGTGATTTAAAACAGTATGTATTTTGGAAGACCTTTTTGTTCTTTAAAACCTATTAGCATCACCTGTTTTAGAAAATTAATAAAACCACTCTCAGCTCACACACTATTTCTGTCCTATATGCTAAAGCTTATGAACAAAGGAGTCATATTAATCTTTAAATATGAAAATAGTTTCTGCATTTAAAAGAGCTACTGTTTACAATATGCCACTCTTGGACTAAAGTAACAACACAAGAACCTGTTGGACAGGTGTGTGACAGACATTAAAACCAGTACTGTACTTAAAAAAAAAAACAACAAACACGCTAACACCACTGCCTTACTCTTCAGGGCCAAGTATGTAAAAATATGTATGGCAAATATGAACATAATAATATCAGCACAGTCTAGAAACTTACTCATTAACCAATACAGCCTTTAAATTTTTAATGGGAAAAACGGGAATTATAATGTGGTAACTTTAATTCCTCTTTACACTTGAAGAGTACATTTGCATCTCGTCACTAAAATAACAGGATGGATTGATCTTCTACAACTATTCTTAACTGTACTGGATCATCTTTAAAAAACAACAAAAAACCCCAAGGCAGAATGACAAACCGAAAAATAACATCTTTTTTATAACTAAAGGGGAAAAATAACATCTTTTTTATAACTAAAGGGGAAAAATAACATCTTTTTTACAACTAAAGGGGAAAAATAACATCTTTTTTACAACTAAAGGGGAAAAATACTTAGCTGTCATGACGTTTTCTTGTAGCTTCTGGTCCCAAAGCCCCTTTAACAGAGCCCTGATTGCTATGGCTGGTAGTTAACTTGCATTTCCATTTTGAATAAAGAATGTTTCCTTTAAAGCTCTATTTATGTATTTTTACACGTTACAGTTTGCAATTCATATTCAGCATGTAAATGGAGAAAAAAAATATACAGTTTGGGCCATTGTTAGCCATACGTGTCATACACTTCAAGGCGCTCAGTTCAGACTACTTGGTCTCCATAGCCATGCGTGTTTTCCTGCACTGGACACGTTACAAACGAGTCTGATCTTGTTATTTTGAGCCTCCTGCCTGTTTTACCACAGAACACAGTCTCAAATTCCTAAAAATCAAAATACAAACAATAAATGACAATCATGTTTAATGTAGGTATTTACTTGAGATGTATGTTCTTGCTTCACTAGTGTCTTGGGAAAAAGCCTTTAATAGGAAGTGCTGAGGAGCCACGGCAGCATCTAGACAAGCAGCTGTTCCTACACACCCTCCCTCTACTCTCAAGTTACTCAGCAGAGCCAGAATTACTCTGGGGCTGCAAGCACTGGTGTGGTTGCACAGGAGCTGCTCACAGTGTGTATGAGTCTCTACTACTCTCACCCACTTTGAGGCAGCGTGGACATGTAGCTGTGACTCCCATCACTTAACTACTAGTTCAGGAAAACTAACTAGAAGCCAACTCCGTGGGAAATAGAGAAAATTAAGGGCTGGGGGGTAGGGGAGAGGAAGGATTGAAGAGGACTTCAATCCTAGATTGTTGTCCAGATAGTATTCATGCTCAGGAATTGGGCTAACTGAAATAAATAAATAAAATTTAAAATCTGACTTGAAAACCCTGGCTGAAGACAGCCTGTGGTTTCACACTACTGGACTGAACCAGCTATAAGAAAAAAAAAAAAAATTTAAAATGAAGTTTCAATGCTATGGCTGTCCCTCACAAACAGCATCAGGCAGAAGCGTTCCACAGACTTTTAGCTATGCCAGCTTTAAAATATCTCACATTTTTGTCAAGAACAAAAAGGAAATTAGATGGGAAACCTGTTTCAGAGAATCACCGTGCCTTTCCCGAATGTACTTCAGGAACGCAGCTGTCCATTGCAAAGTCGTTGCTTTATCAGTGTCGACGTTACAGAAGGGAACCAGGAGATTCAGCTCATCACAGCAAACCCGGATTCTGCGCCTACAGGCAAACAGAAAGGTTGTTAACTGATGGGGGAGAGGGAAGGAAAAAAAAAATACAAAAAGACAGACTATTCACCTGGGCTACAAGCTTTGGGGACATCTTTTTGTTCGCTACAAGCTTTGTATTTGCATATTAGTCATGTTACATGCAAGTTTTGCCTTTACAGAATTGGTTAAATGTTTTGAAATCTGTTTATAGAGGAAAAAAACCACCAACTACAACCACAACGAAACAGACATATATTTTTCCTCCAAAGCCACCAAACCCTGTCCACCTGCATTGCTTTTTCTTGTAGGTAAACCAAAGTATGTCAAATTTACATTTTACTCTGGATAATGATGGGAGTATTACAGTATTTTAGGCTTCAAAAAATTTGTGCTGCCGCTCCTCCTAGAATGGTTTGGGCTGGAAGGGACCTCCAAGATCATCCAGTTCCAACCCCCCTGCCATGGGCAGGGACACCCTCCACTACACCAGGTTGCTCAAAGCCCCATCCAACCTGGCCTTGAACACTTCCAGGGATGGGGCAGCCACAGCTTCTCTGGGCAACCTGTGCCAGTGCTTCACCACCCTCTGAGTGAAAAATTTCTTCCTTAGATCTAATCTAAATCTCCCCTCTTTCAGTTTAAAGCCATTTGCCCTTGTCCTGTCACTACACACCCTTGTCAAAAGCCCCTCTCCAGCTTTCCTGTAGGCCCCCTTTAGGTACTGGAAGGCTGCAATAAGATCACCCCGGAGCCTTCTCTTCTCCAGGCTGAACAGCCCCAACTCTCTCAGCCTGTCTCCATAGCAGAGGTGCTCCAGCCCTCAGATCATCTTCGTGGCCTCCTCTGGACCCGCTCCAACAGCTCCATGTCCTTCTTGTGCTGGGGACCCCAGAGCTGAATGCAGAAATCAGAAGGTAATAGAAACTACCTTCTGTCTCGCTCCATGCGGTTATGTCTCTCTCTTCGCTGAGCAACTCCATCCCGGGTGCCGCTTGGCACCTGGGCACCAGAACTCGCCGGTGCCTCCTGCCACGGGCCCTGGGCAGAGGCACCACTCTGGCTGTCATCACGCGTGTTCTGAATTTCACCCAGAGGTTTGCGTTCCGTGTTCGTGTTCAACGGGCTTATGCGGCTGCAGCTTCTTCTGTTTATCACCTGCTTGCACAAGGTGTCTTTTGGGAAAAAAAACAAAGAGGAAAAGAAGAATGTATTTCTAACCCTTCCACAAATCACTGAAAATTAAGATCATGGCAATTTTTTTTTTTGACACTTTATTTATAAAATTTGAAGCTTTATTGCCAGCCCAGGTTGACTCTTTGGAAGCCCTAAGGCTTTGCTTGCTGTTTCAAAATCCACCTAGCTTCTGTTTTCCCAGAGCACCCACTGAGATCATGCCCGCCTTTGACGAGCATTTGGGGCAGTCCTCCAAATGTTCTTCACTTGGATAATGACTACATCTGCTATACCAACTTTGGGGTCAAAGAGTACAGAAAGAAACCAGTTGCTCACTGTAGGCCCAGATTTTCAAAGGTTCTTTGCAACCCTGGCTTTTCTCAGGTCAAGCTAGAAGTGCTAAATGATTTTGAAAGTACAGCTAAAATCAGAGGTGAGGATTGGTTTTTTGAGAAATCTAGTCCCATATTGCACATCTCAGACATAAGAAACACACCTCATATGATTCACTAAAATCATATTCATTCTAAAAACCACACAAATTCAGAAAAATTCAGAGAAAGCTAAGTGAAAAGAAAATAAATGGTTTACCTCCAACTTTAATCCAAACTTCCTCAGGAAAAGCTTTATTCACAGCACCTACTGTCTGTTTTGTGGATTCAACTTCCTGATAGCAGAAAGAAAATGTCTTGGACACCCCAAGGTCTTGATGTTTGGCAGCTTCCAAAACAGTGCAAGACGTTCCAGAAGTCTGCGAAAACCAAAAAGGAACTAGAGGACTGTGTACATGAAAAAGAGACGATTTTAATATTTTCATCTTAACATCTTAAGTTTTAGCCCTGTGATTCCATGTGTTGTATCAGAATAAACCCCAATTACTTCTGCACATCACAACTATAAGGTTTTAACAGACTGCTGAATTATTTTTGGATATCGACGATGTTTCTGAGTGCTACAATAACACTCTTGCTTCAGAGGTTACTGTGAGGTGGAGGAAAAAAAAATCTTTTCCACCCAAATTCATTAGAAAAACATGGAACCATGGAAGACAGTACTAAGTGTCTCCTCCTTGTCTTGTGTAGATGAAGCAGAGAGATACACCACTAAACTCAAGAAAAGTCTCCTTCTAGTAGGAAATCTAATATTGATCATTACCTGGAGGCACATTATTACAAACGACACAACTGCCACATGATTGGGTTGTGTCAAAATTAATTTTGATGGTCTTAAAGATTAGCATAAGAATAAATAAATGGCCTTACAGATCATTCCTATCATCCCTATTCACACCAGGCCACACTTTAACACAAACCTTTGGAATGATATTACCCCTAGGGGATTAGCATCATTAAAATTTGAAATTAGCAGAGTACAACTAGTGGTGAACATGTCATCTACCTGTGCTTGTGAAGGATTAGCACTTCCAGCAGTGGAGCATGCGTTCATCGTAAAGAACGGGTATGTGAACTGTAAAGAAGACGTGGCAGGTGCAGGCTTATTTTTCCCTAACGCAGCACACTTGTTTTCTTGCTGATGAAGAGGAACACCTATCAGTTCTGATGGCTGTCGAATCAATGTTACTAAACTTTAAAAAAAAAAAAACAAACAAACAAAAAACCACAGAAAACATACCAGACTGACTACGTGAAAACGAGTGCAGAAAAGTTTACAGCTACACATACATCTAGTAACTACCACCAAGAAACCACTTCCATTTACTGCAAACAGAAATCGTTGTTATTGCCCTATTGCCTACTTCAGGGACAAAAAAAAAAAAAACATAATCAGCTGAGAAGGTATTTTACTCTGTGCAGTAACAATTCAGCTTTACGCCTCAATAAAAGGTTTTATCAGCACACTAAGACAGTTACAGGGCCAGATTGTAAACCAGTATTCTTGCTCAGTTTTCCCCATAGTCAGGCTTCCACATCGTTAACACTTATCAATTGCTCTTAATATTTTATTATGACCAAAATTCTACTTTTTCCTTTTAGCAAGCTGCATGTTAAAGCTAGGTAATGTTCTTCTCTCATTTCTATTTACATCATTACCAAGAATAAAGTTGTAAAGTAATTAATTTTGGAACTATGGTCTGTACCATTTATGCAAGATACAGAGGGGCCTCATCTGAGGTCAGTGGAGCTGCAGCCGCGTTTGACTGGCCCAACTCATCATTCTGACACATTAAAAAAAGTGCTGTTCTTAGGTTTTATGTAGAAAATCAGTTTTGAACTATATGATGCTACATAGTTTAACAACATAAACTAAAATTAATTGCAACACACTTGTTAAGAGTTACTCCAGATTCTTGGGGTTCTTGACATCTGGGGTTTTCGGTCTGGATGCTGTTGAATCTGTCTTCCAACCGAACTCTGACTGCAGATTTAGATATAAGTTCTGGTGCCAGTGCCGAATTTTCAACAAGTATGTTTTCTTTATTCACCCCAACAAAATTCTCATCATGTTTAACTTTTACTAAACTGTGTTCTGGGCCTTCTACAGAGGTATTGCTAGGCATTTTATCTGTTGGGTTCAAAGGGATGTTAGACTCGCTAAGTAACATCATCCTGAGCTCCTGAAAGTCAGCATGGCTCAAATGTGGGTTTGAACTTGGCAAGCTGCCGTCGGAAGGTAACCCTGACTGACAGGCTACTGGGTAAACTGGCTGGTTCCCAGAGCTGTTTGATGCACACCCCTCCTGACCGGTGTTCCGGGAGGTCTGGTGCAGAGCGGGCTCTGCAGCGTTACTGGGTGAGGAGAAGGAATGGAGCCTAGCTTCCACTTCACCTTCACTAGCCTGTGCCTCCGCGTGCGAGTACAGTATGTGCTGCAGCTGCGTGTACTCAATCTCCATCATCTCCACCAGGCCGACGTCTGTGGTGGTGAAGCTAAGGTTTTGCTCACCAAAGGGAACGTCACTTGAGCCTCCAGGTCCGACAGCAACTGGAGCGGGGTCAGGAACACCAACACTTGGAGGAAGGGAGGTCTGAGGCTCCTCTGGGGCTGAACCTGACATGACTACAGCAAACCTAATCAGTCACCAACGCCCGCTTCAGCAGCGCACCACAGAACGCCCAACAGCCACCAGCGCTACCCATTAAAAAGCGAAAATAAAAGGCAAAAAAAACCCTGCACTTAACACCGATTCCGCCCGGGTAACACAGCAACCAGCTCCCGGTGCCCGGCACACTCCGACCATGTCTCCCACCTCCGGCGGCCC